TTAAGTGTGAAAAATGCTCATAAGTCAGGTTTTTCAATGCTGTTGTGACTTTGAACCAGAGGTAGGTTGCTCCTGGTTCGTCCTAGTTCAGCTGAACCAGTAGTGAAATTCAGTCCTGGGTCACAGAACCGGCAGCGACCCATGTTCCCTTACTGCCACTCGGCCGCCACCATTTTGGTTTTTAGTGACTGTGCATGCACAGTTCACTGTAAATTGTTCTGCACATGCACGAAAAACAATTTACATAGAACAGTGCATGCTTTGCGTGTAGGTTGCAAACCGGTAGTAAAACTGGCAGCAACACACCCCTGCTTCGGATGGTTACTAAATGAACTGTTGTAAGTCAAGGACTACCTGTATTCGTTTTTCAATGCTGTATTGATACATCAGAGGCCAAAGTGGACAAGATTAGAGCCAAAAGCAGTAAGGTGCAAGAGAAATACCCCTACTTGAAGCATTAAAACAGCCATGCCCTTTGGAAGGCTCATATGGATGTTTTAAACGTCATGATTTTTATGAATATATCCATGTTTAGATAATTGTTTTGTCTGATCCAATAGTGAAGAAAAGCAGTTGTGCATGGAGAGGGAAAAAAAAAATCAAAGATAGCCTTTGTAGCAGCCATACAAGCCTTCCAAATGATGTTTCTTCAAGCAGGTGTAGGCTGTTCATCATAACCCAATTTTCAAAACAAATCTTTCAAATATTTTTCATAGCTGCAGAAAATTTGAAACATTTGTAAAACACACACACACACACACACACACTCACACCCCTACACCTTTCTCACATGCATGCAAGTCACCTAAAGTCCTATTAGGCTAATTTCTTTTAAATGTTGCAATAGAAGCTCCCAATGAAACCTTTATTTAGTTTCTGAAACAAAATGCAACATATCAAACAGATATATGCATCATGAATGTATTTTTATTCAAGCTATGTAGAGAGACCTATTCTGTTGTATTCAAATTGCCATTTTCTCTTGACCCATTCACAATGTGACTTCTTTGATGAGGCATATTGTGCCACGTAGAATCCGCTCCATTTGTGTAAAGCAGATGTGAGGAATCTATTTCTATCCAAGTTTTGTGTTTGAACTGAAGCAGGAATAAATCCAATCAAATATTCTCAGGACTATCAGCCAACATAACCAAAAGTAAAGGATCATTAGAGTTACAGTTCAATAACCTAAGAGAGACCATATCACTATCATCTTCTGGCTAAAGTGGAAAATTTGTGAATTTTGGACTGCAAAGGAAAGACCACCAACTTAGCCTTATTTGTTATTTATATATATTGATGTTAAGAGATACACAGTTTGGCTTATCAGTGCTGTTTTCACTCCCACGTTTTGGGAGGAAAGCAAAATAAATGAATAACATAAAGTAATAATATATAAAAATACAGAACACTGGATATTTAGAAATTTTGTTTGTTATTTGAATGTCCGCAATAATCTGTAGATTGTGCTGTGATTACATACTGAAAGAGCCAAGGTGGCGCAGTGGTTAAGTGCAGCACTGCAGGCTACTGCTAGATCAGCAG